GGACAAGTAGGGTTATCAAAGTCTACATGTGGAGGTAGTGGAAAACGAGTAAGCAGCAAGGAACTGGAACGCTGCAAAGAAGAGTTGTACAGATGGTTTAGACGAGTGAGGAGGAGCGATGGGAGATGGATCAGTGTCCATAAACGGTTTTGTCTCCTCAATATATTCGGAGATAGCTTCAAGTGTTTCACAAGACAAGGAAGTTGCATGTAGTATGACATCAGAGATAGAAGAGGGAGAGTGAGATGGAAGGTGATGGAAGTTACCAAAGAAGGGGGGGGTGAAAGTATAGAGTTAACTTGGGAGGGGACAGGAGAGAAGACTGTGCGAGGGGAAGGATGACCCACCACACTCATAACAGAGCTAGTAAGAGGGAAAGAACTAGGTACAGAGACTGGAAAGGAAAAATGTTTGGGAAGGACGTGTGAAAGAGGGGTAAAAGAAGATTTAAATTTTGGGGACGTTTTAGACTTTGGGGAAGTAGAGAGATGAAGGGAAGGTGTAGTTATGCGAGGTCTTGTAAACATAAAAACATGCAAATGTGATGAAGATTCAAGGATAATATTAGGGTTCGAGGTAGGGACCTCGGAGGCTAGAACTGCAAGAGAGTTAGAGGCAGAGGTGACACTAGAGGAGATCGGGGAAGTAGGTGCTACTGAAGTTGGAGGCCTCTTAGTAACTCTAGATTAAGAAAGTCGTGGAAGATTTCCCTGGAAGATTTCCCTTCTTTCTCTTTGAGACAACGAACTTCCTGTCTTGTTAGGTAAACTTGGCAACTTCGAGAATAAGCCGGGTGAGCCTCATTACAATTAAGGCAAGAGGGAGCCAGGCTGCAGGATGTATTTGCATGGTCGGCAGCACCACAAACTGGGCACTCTGTCATGGACCTGCAATAGTTTGCTGCGTGGCCAAAGTGCCAGCAATTTCTGCACTGTTGTGATGTAGGGATCAACTCTGACTTGGAGACGGAGTCCTGCAATATAAATTGAGGATGGAAGTTCTCGGCAGTCAAAAGTTAAGTGAGCTACATTGCAGGGAAAGTGTCTCTGCATGGGGCATCTGGTACACAAGTGTCCACTTTGAGAATTGGGAGATCTTGGACCTCAAGTTGCTCCAGACTGTCGGCATCACATGTCCGGAAATCATGCTAAACAATGGTATGAGGAAGAAATACGGTACCAGTGCAAGAATTGAGAGAAATGTGTTTTCGAATTGTGACAGGAATATCATCCCTGGAGGTAAGAAAGGAAAGATTGTCAGCCTGGCTAGCATTTTGTACGGTGATGATGTGTGCACCACTCTTGAGAGCATGAAATTTGAAATATTTTGACTAACATGGCGCAAGAGTGCCTTGTTGATACTATGATCTGAAAGATAGTAGGAGACATATGTCAGCTGCAGAGTGAAATTTTAGTATTATAATAATCAAGGAGGAAGCGCTAAACCCATAGGATTATACAGCGCCTGTGGAGGAGGGGGGGTGGAAGGTATTCTGGCTTAATTCACGGAACTAGAACACAGATCCAGTTCCCTAGATCAAGAACCTCTCACTAGCATCAAGGAGCCTTCCTTAAGGGGTACAGAGTGAAAAATTTAGTCCACTGTGTACTTTGAAACGTAGTGTGTAAGGGGAGTGTCATGCTGTTTTTTCTGAGATGTGTGAGAGTTAATTGAAGCAGTCATCGGTTAATGGATGTGGTTGTTTAGGTGTGGGACGGTGGTGGTCCGTCCTGAAATGGATGGGCGATCTGAAAATCGTCACACTGTAGGGAGAGAAGCCTGAAGCGTGGTCAAAAACGTGCGGAGGTCGGCTGTGTCAAATGAGTCGGACGAAACCTCGGTATCAGGAGCGGGCAATGAAATGCTACCAACAGAAGGTACAGGAGCATTAGAAAGGTCCGAAGGATGATGTAACAGTGAGGTAGGGGTCCTAACAGGGTGCAACATCAGAAAGGGGCCCAGGAGGAGGCAGTTTCATGAATCTGGAACTCCATGGTTATGTCACACCCTACCTTTCATGCCACTAAACCATTAATCTGGGATAGCAATCTCACATCTACCAAGCCACCTCAGTGGACAAAAGAGAGTGGTCAGATACCCGCCACAAAGCATACCTCCTCCTGGGTGACTAACCCTCCAGGTTAAAAATTTGAATAAATTTTATCTTTACCATTTCAAAATGGACTTTAAAGTAATCGCTTTCATTGTTCTGATAGCATCTGTAATTTTTTATGCAAGTTATATTATTATTATATTATTATTATTATTATGATAACAAAGAAATGCAATTTATAGATTTTTGTTGCGTTAAGTTGTTGTTGCTCTTGTTCTTCATATCATCATCGTACAATATTTAGGGAAAACACTAAGCCTATCATAAGGGTCATACAGTACCTGAGAAATGGAGGCAATTAAACTTGATCCAAGGAACGGAAGGAGAATTCCAGTTTCTTGGATCAAGAGCCATCCGCACACTAGCATCAAATATCATCCCTCGAGGAAAGTACACTTATATGAAATCGTTTCCATAGGTTGATGTGCTGGAGTCAATCGAAGTGCGTGAAGAGTCAAATGTTGATGCAGTTATTGTACGAGGAAATCACTTCTTACAGGTTAACCAAGAGAAACCCTTCCGTATTCACGCCAATGTCCGTTCTGTCATTACAGGTGAGATTTTCCATACATTCACATATCTCCCTTTTTTTCTCCCATTATTTTATTCTTTACCTTTTTCTCCATCTCTCTGTTTAAACATAAATGTCCTTTGTCTTTGAACCAGACTGCATATAATGCTATCAAAGCAACTGTTAATTCATAAGACATTGTCTTGCCTGCTTCCATAGAGAACTACGTGCCATGCTCATGTCAACTATGGTGGGTCTTGGACTCTCCGCTGGCACAGCAGATGCCCATGTTTTCCCGTCATAACTTCTGTGTTTCGCCCTATGCCCTTCATGGCAAGACCATCACTTCAGTGGACATGGAAAAACTGGAACGATGCCCTGCGCCGCAAGAACTTCAGCTACCCAGCGGCCAGGAGACATCCCAAGGAACTTCTACACTGCCCCTCCCAGAATTCCTCTCTGCTCTGTGTATATCCTTATTACTATTTCATCATCCTGATTGGTGACATGACTCCTGAGATGATGGCATGTCACAGATTATATCTTTTAATTATGGAGTGTACAGAATTAGTTTTATTGTAATGATCTGTGGAATCTTTGTCTACAATAGCCTTATCCCTGATTTGTAAAATATGCCATTATTATCACCAAGATGGGGACAATAATTAATTAAAAACTCAGAAGGCCCATGTTAGTTCTTTCTTTGATATAATTATGCCTTAACATACTATCATGGTTATTTAATAAAACATTACATATCATTGACACAGAAAATGCTAGGCTAATAAGTTTCATTTGGAAACATTTTTTACAAAGCGATACTGTATAAAAAAAATTGTTTATCCTTTTAAGCAGCAATACTCGGATGCTTTACAATAGATGTTGAACAAAACATCTGATACTAATCTTTCTTCACCATAGTCACTTAGTAAACATATTAATGTGTGCAGATTGGGAATTTATATTACAAGATTATTATAGTTTTACTGTTGAGTGACTTGCTGACACTATCAATTTATATTTTTTAGTCTTAGTACTGTACTGTACTGTGAAATTTGTTACCAGGGAATTTAATAATACTTAAACTTAAATTAAGCATTGCACATACCTACCTTCACATATCCCTACTCACAGCGCTCTATGACCCATACAGATTTAACACTAACTGATTATGATAAGCTTCAATTGTTTATTAACATTTTTCGTTATGGATGTCCTGGGAGAACTAGAACAACTTACTTGTCATGTATTTGGAAAGAAATACGATAATTGTTCTGTGCCACTAGTGTCAAGAGAGAAGCGTAGATTGGGTGGGAAAATAGGAACAGGCAGCGGTTAAACACTAGGCTTAATGGTTAAGGACTAGAAATTAGAATTAAGTACATCTACAAAAAATATATACTACAGTGGTACCTCGGTATACGTCTGCTTTGGAATAAGTACAACTTGGTATACATCCTGTTCGGACGTGAAAATTTTTGTTTGGTACACGACCTTTGTTTAGAATATGACTCGGGTGCTAGAAATTGTATGGGTCAAAATGAGTCATGACACCACGCGCAACCCTTGTCTACCTCTCTCTCGAGACAACGCCACGACTGCCCACTAGCGTCAGTACACCCTTTGCTACCATTCAGGGAACAACCTGCACTGTTACTCTGTGAGTTTACGTTTTTTCATATAAATTTTTAGTAAATTCTTTAACCATGAGTTCTATGAAAGTTAATGAGAAGAGCCAAGCAATGAAGAAAATGGTTAGGATCACCATGGAGGTGAAAAAAGAGAGGTGCTTTGAAGTGACCTCTGACATAGAGTTCACCCTGAAAGAGTTTTGGAAAGATCACTTTACTATTGCCCATTGCATAACTCTCATTGACAAAGCTAAGCAGGAAGTTTCATAAAGAACAATGAACTCTGCTTGGAGGAATCTGTGGCCAGAAGCAGTGGCTGAAAGGGACTCTGAGGGCTCTGAGGCTATGTCTATAGTGGAGGATACTGTCTCTCTGGGCAGGTCCATGGGTCTGAATGTGAGTGATGGTGATGTGAAGGAGTTAGTTGAGGGGCACAGGGAAGAGCTGACCACTGAGGAGCTGCAGGAACTTGAGAAGGAGGAGCACAAGACTAAGATGGATGCACTCTCTTCAGGCTCAGAAGAAGAGGTAGAGGAAGCTCCTACTTCATTAATCAAGGAAATCTTTGCCAAATGGATGGACGTCAAAAACTTTGCAGAGACATACCACCCCAACAAAGCTCAAACAGGCCGTAATAGCATTGTCTGGAATGACCAGACAATGTCACATTGCCGAAACATCCTGAGGAGAAGGCAGAAGCAAAGTTCTTTGGACACATTAAAATTTTAGTAAAAGTCAAATCTGGTGAGCTTCAACCAAGTCCAAATTGGTAAAAGAGACAGAAAAGAGAAGGGGACTTTCCTTCCAAACAATAACATTTCTCCTCCTCCCTTTCCCCGACTTCCTAGTAGGCACTCAACTCTTTTCAG